GACCCCCCTGTAACAATGTCTTCCACAAAAATGTTTATCCTTGAGGAGTCTCAGGATTTACTTTGTGATAAAGTCACCATATCAACTTCACCTTAGAAGTATTGCGGAAAATGTGGTACCGGGGGGCCTGGGGGGTATGGAATACCCCCCAGAACACACGTTAGTGTTAAAAGGGTTGGCGAGTCTTTCTCTGCTGGGTGGCTCTTTATCCCCCGTGGCTTTTAATCTAATTTTTCGACGATCATCATCCAGTTTTAGTTTGCTGAGGGGGTATTTCCCCCCCCCCCGACCCCCCTGTGACAATGTCTTCCACAAAAATGTTTATCCTTGAGGAGTCTCAGGATTTACTTTGTGATAAAGTCACCATATCAACTTCACCTTAGAAGTACTGCGGAAAATGTGGTAGGTACCGGGGGGCCTGGGGGGTATGGAATACCCCCCAGAACACACGTTAGTGTTAAAAGGGTTGGTGAGTCTTTCTCTGCTGGGTGGCTCTTTATCCCTCGTGGCTTTTAATCTAATTTTTCGACAATCATCATCCAGTTTTAGTTTTCTGAGGGGGGTATTACATCCCCCCCCCCCCCTAGACCCCCCTGTAACAATGTCTTCCACAAAAATGTTTAGCCTTGAGGAGTCTCAGGATTTACTTTGTGATAAAGTCACCATATCAACTTCACCTAAGAAGTATTGCGGAAAATGTGGTACCGGTGGTCCTGGGGGTAGGGAATACCCCCCAGAACACACGTTAGTATTAAAGGGGTTGGCGAGTCTTTCTCTGCTGGGTGGCTCTTTACCCTCGTTGCTTTTAATCTACTTTTTCAGCAATCATCATCCAGTTTTAGTTTGCTGGGGGGTTGGGGGGTGTTTCAAACCCCCCCGGTAACAATGTCTTCCACAAAAATGTTTAGCTTTGAGGAGTCTCATGATTTACTTTGTGATAATGTCACCATATCAACTTCCCCTAAGAACTATTGCGGAAAATGTGGTACCGGGGGGCCTGGGGGGTATGGAATACCCTCCAGAACACACGTTAGTATTAAAAGGGTTGGCGAGTCTTTCTCTGCTGGGTGGCTCTTTACCCTCGTGGCTTTTAATCTACTTTTTCAGCAATCATAATCCAGTTCTAGTTTGCTGGGGGGTATTCCATACCCCCCCGGTAACAATGTCTTCCACAAAAATGTTTCACCTTGAGGAGTCCCATGATTTACTTTGTGATAAAGTCACCATATCAACTTCACCTTAGAAGTATTGCGGAGAATGTGATACCGGGGGGCCTGGGGGGTGGCTCTAACCCGCTTGGCTTTTAATCTAATTGTTCAGCAATCATTCAGTTTCAGTTTTCTGGGGGGTATTCCATGCCTCCCCCCCCCCCCCCTTAAGAAATTCTCCCGGCGTGGTTACCAATCATTGGAACCTAGTGACTATACATGGCCGTCATCTTCTACTTATCTGGGCTTTGGCTAGGACTGATGCGCATTACTGGGCACGTTGCTCGTTTTTACGACTGCGCCGCTTCGCAATTTCAACTGGTGCCCAGTCGGGTTTCGCCTCCTAATGATTCCTCCATTTTGGGCCTGCGGAAACTTGCTTTGTTAACAAACTGGTTACAGGACGTTTTGGTAAAATCATCACAGGACAATCCCCATGTTGTACTGAACGAACAAACAAAAGTAACAATCTGGGAATGGAATATTTTGCTGACAATCTAGTTGCGGGCACAAATCCGGCGGCATATTCGGTTCGCATCTTGCGTCGGCAAAAAATGATGCGGCTCATTTGAGCACCAAATTGATTTTGTTCCGACAAAAAGTTCTCCAATTTTAGGTGAATGAAGCGTTCGAGCTGCTGAAGAGGCGCAGCTGCAACAATCCAGGTCAAAGGTTACCGAAGGTGGAGATCCTGCGGAGCGCGATCGAGTACATCGAGTACCTCGAGGAGGTGCTTCAGGGATCGAAAGGCGGAAGCGATCCGTCCTCCAACCCTTCAACGAATTCCGACTACTTAGTGAGTATTTCGTTTTCACGTTAATTTAAAAAGCTTTCAACTTAAAAACCTTTTCGTTTTACAAATAGCAACACGCTCGCCACTTAATCCTCATTAATTCTTTCGGTTTTTTTCACGTGCGTTACGTTTATAAATAGATCAAAATCATCATGTGAAAGTCGGTATGATATCGGAGACACAATTAAAAACACATGCCCGCCACATGCTTTGCCTTGTTCCTTCTTCGTTTCGGTAGTTATAGGTGTCCCAATGTTTCTAATAATTAAGACGAAAATAAAAGAAGCGCGCGCGTCCATAAATTTCCCGAACATTAATAATTGTTATGAAAGAGACGGAATTTAATTCGAGTCTTGTCGGTTAGACGCACTCATTAATTCTGGTGTCAGATTTAAATCGCCGAAACGTTGGATCTAAGCCAGCCCTGAAAATACGTACGCTCTTTGTTAACAAATAAATAACAATGGATAGCGCGAGGGGGAAAAAACGCGCACGGCGTAAAAGTATCGTCGGCTCCGCTTACAATTTTTGTGCGGAAAACCGCGCGGTGATTGAGACGAGTTTAATTATTTCGAGAGTTCCAGTAATTAGTCTGTTCGGAGGGCAATTAATCAGAATTTCAACGAACTAAGATAACATGGTTATTGGCATTATTTCAACGGACATTTAAGCTGCGGGTCTACAACCACCATTTATTTCATTCTACGTTTACACGTCCCAGACTTAAACCCTCGGCCCACCAGACTCGTATACCTATCAAGAGCGAGATTTAATTATAAATTACTCCGGAAATTACTGACTCGAAATTCTTTTACAGAACGACCATCCTCAGGGATACTACAATGAGAAGCTCCACCAGTTCAGCGAGCCTTTAAATAAGTTCTCGTCGGCGAACAGTAAGTGCGCTTTTCTTTTTTATGGCGATAATCGGGTAGGCCGTGCCAGAGAGCGTATCTGGTAATAATAATAATAGTAAATAAGTCTAGTTATTTCATGCCTTGTTTGTTTATTTAGTTGGCTACCGCGACGTTCCACATATGCGCGAGCTTCTGAAGAGGCTGAGACATTCATCATCTAAATGGGTTCACGAATCACTTCCAAATTGCCTTTTATGTTTGCCTCTTTTTTTAACGCGTCCTTTCAATTATATATTTTGTTGCACTTCAACATTACGAGGCCGTTTGTGCTATTTACTTCGATATAAATTAACGGTGCGTAAGATTTTAATTGTAATTATAAATTATGGCGACCTTCTACATTTGTAAGCGCGATATTTACTTGTATTTTTGTAATTAGGGGCGAAGCGGCTTGCCAAATGTGTACCTATTAAATTGTGGCACTTACTGCTCCAAGAAACATCGTTTTGTTTTTAGTTCTTCGTCCTTAGGACTTAAATTATCATTCCAGGCCTAGAACGCCGATTATTTTTCTCCATTTTTCTGGTTAGTAACTTTTTGGCTTAAAAAATGACAAATTATGCATTTCAAAGAAAAAACAAAGCGTTCAAGCAAAACAAAAAAGGTTCTCTACTTACGTATGTATAACGTTTATATTTGAAAATTCTGATTTTTCAAAGTTTACATAATATATGGCAATAATACGTGTTAACGCGTCTGTAGACAACCGAATACTAACAGGAAATAGAACGCATGTCTTTACAATGAATACAATTGGCAAGGTGATTTTTCAAACGCATTCGAAAAACAAAATAACCTTGCAAAATCAAATTTTCTAAATGCGGGAATTCACCCATATCGACGTCGCCAGCATATTACGTACAAAACGCCAATCCATCCGGTCCAACCCAAAGCCGATTTCTTTGTCTTCAGTAACGATCAGAGGTCCTTCAGAAAACACGTCTTTCTCTAATATCCTTTTTTGGGGAGTAACTATTTGCATTGAATAGTCGCTCCATCTTCGTTTTCAACTGTTCTTTTTACAAGACCATCTTGTATTTTCAACGAGCCCCACTGAGCCCAATATGATTTTTTTTAGTTGGGCTAAAATATGCCGTTTCTTCCCAGGAGGACCATTTGTCTGCAATTTTCCATTGTTTCATGTGTGGAAGATCGAGATCTCTGTGCTGACCTGCCAAAGTGCTGCGGGAATCCAATCGTAGGGGCGTTGCATAATCCAAACGGCATGAAAATGCAATGAACCCAAACCAACGTTTAACGTAGTCTTTTCTCGATGTTAAGGTTCGAGCCCAACCTGCCAGTAACCACTCTTCATATCCAACGTTGAAAACCACTCCGATAAGAGTATCTAAAGTGTCTATAACAAACAGATATAATTCACTAACGGTACTAAAAACGGCAGCTGTTTCATATAGTCTAATCCTTTCAGTTGTGAGATATGTTGCCTAACCGTAGGGGTCACCACACGTTTGAACAATCCCACACGGCTACACTTTGCAAATCCATTAGGCAGAGACCACTGGAATTCAAAATTGCCTTTTTTTTAATTAACCAAAAAGACCCATAATTTTGAGTTTATTGATGGATTTCAAAAAGAAGAAATGTCAAAGTAAGTCGACTTTGAAGTTTTGGTACTGCTGGTAAATTATTTCTTTTATGAAGCCAGTAACGTTGCTACCTATTGATTTTTAAGACACATTTATGAATTTGTTTGCTCTATCAGTTCATGTTAAAGTAAACATATTTTTCCAAATTCCGTAAAGCTCTCCAAGGGCGCCATTAAGACGATCACCGCTCTTTTTACAAGATAAATTTAAATGCGCAGGGACATTTTTCCCAATTTTCTTCGTTATATCGTCAAAAAACGGCGATTGATGAGAAAACGTTGCAGTTTATTTAGATCAGGATCAAGTGGTCTTTCCTTACCGTCATTTGATGTTCAATTTTTTTAGGGATACATTATTTAAGCATATGACTTATTCAACAGTCATGAGAATAAAAGCACAATAAGCACGTGTCGTAATTCTACCGATTTCGGTATAAATAACAAATTACGATTCTAAAAACCTTGATGTATAAAGCATTTCTGGGCTACTTCATTTGTTTAAAATTGCTCTCAGGCGATGGTACTAATGAAATAAAATGGTAATAAAATAAACCAGGCAGCAAACATTTTAAAATAATTGGAAAATGAATCCTATATTGTATTGCATGTATTTATTTCTACTCCTTGAATAAGTATCTTTTCTTATACCATTTCTTCAGAATTTGCGAGTTTCTAATGATTTAGATTTATTTTTCTTGCTTTATACAAACGTATTTGCAAACGTCAACATAGCTATGCTTACACATCGTGCTTGTGATTTAAATATTCCTAACTAGTATAGAAGGCATGCCGTAATAGAATGTTGGGAAGATATTTGAAATACGTTTCAGAACTGGTAAAAATTTTCGAGATTAATTTAAATTCATGAATTTCTTAAAAATACACAATCAATCGAATAAGTTGAATTCGCAAAAACTTATTCGTATATTATATATATACAAAAAGTTCAAAGGGCTGTAACTTTTGATCTAGTAGTCCAATCTTGGAACTGTTTGAAATTATGGATTCTACAGGCCACATTCTATAAGAAAAATTTTTTTCCGGATCGATCAGAGACAATTTTTTTTGGGGGCTCAAAAAAAGACAGTGTATAACCTTCCTTTTTTACCAAAAATCGACTACTCCAAAATTTCTCGGGAAAACACTTTTTCTTATTAATTTTGGTGCGTAGAATCCAAAACAATTCGTACTTTTTCGATTAGACTTCTCAATCAAAAGTTATAGACTAGAAATCAATTTCGAAAAAAAAATCAAAGGGCTGTAACTTTTGAACTAGTAGCCCAATCTTGGAACTGTTTGAAATTATGGATTCTACAGGCCACATTCTATAAGAAAATTTTTTTTCCGGGTCGATTTGAGACAATTTTTTTTTCGGGGCTCAAAAAAAGGCAGTGTATAACCTTCCTTTTTTACCAAAAATCGACTACACCAAAATTTCTCGGGAAAACACTTTTTCTTATTAATTTTGGTGCGTAGAATCCAAACAATTCGTACTTTTTCGATCAGACTTCTCAATCAAAAGTTATAGACTAGAAACCAATTTCGAAAGAAAATTCAAAGGGCTGTAACTTTTGAACTAGTAGGCCAATCTTGGAACTGTTTGAAATTATGGATTCTACAGGCCACATTCTATAAGAAAATTTTTTTCCGGGTCGATCTGAGACAATTTTTTTTTCGGGGCTAAAAAAAAGGCAGTGTATAACCTTCCTTTTTTACCAAAAATCGACTACACCAAAATTTCTCGGGAAAACACTTTTTCTTATTAATTTTGGTGCGTAAATCCAAAACGATTCGTACTTTTTCGATTGGACCCCTCAATCAAAAGTTATGGACAAAAAACCTATATATATATATATTAAGAAAATGTTTTTTCCCGGTCGATCTGACTCTGACAATTTTTTTTACGACCAAAAAAAAGCATTTCAAACAGTTCCAAGATTGGACTACTAGATCAAAAGTTACAGCCCTTTGAACTTTATATATATATATATATATATATATATATATATATATAAAAATTCGAATATTCGTGTTTTGGAATCATTATCCTATTTCTACTTGATTAAAATCTGTCTGTCGCTTCATTGATTTACCAAGCAAAAAACTAAAAGAAAAATTCCAAAACTACAAAGTATTTGCTTTTTCTACGGGCAAAACCTTGTACCACAATCAAAATCCCATGGAGATCATTTTCACCAAGTCCACGATCTTGCATCACAAACAAGGTCACTTCTTACTACGCCTCTCGAGGTGCTTTAGCAGTAATGAAGGTAAAAAAAAGATGCTGGTCTACTATTGGTTTAAAAGAGACGCCGATCGGGGCAATTTCGTTGGTTCTGTTTTTGTCTTTATATAAATAGCGAAGCGCACAGCGAGCCAAAAAGGATGTCTATAGAAGTGTGTCTGGGGGGTATGGAAAACCCCTCAGTACACGTCAGTTCCATTGCCATTCCCACTAAAGCTTTATGAGATCACTGAAGGATATAGGGAAAGGATTATCGGGGTTTCCTTTGCTGAGTGGTCGCCGTTTTGAAAGGAATTTTCCAGAAATCGTGATCGAATATTATTTTGCTTGGGGGTATGTGATGGCTGGGGGGTGTTCCATACCCCCTCCGACCCCCCTGGAACATTTTCTTCCACAGACCGTTCAAGACAGTTGTTGGGAAAAAATGATCATGTCTTCTTCTCCTATGTACTCCAGAAAATACGTAGCACCGTGGGGTCTGGGGGGTATGGAATACCCCCCAGGACACGTGAGTTCCATTGCCATTCCCACTAAAGCGTTATAAGATCCCTGAAGGATAAAGGGATTATCGGGGTTTCCTTTGCTGAGTGGTCGCCGTTTTGCAGACCCCCGGTGCTACGTATTTTCTGGAGTACAGAGGAGAAAAGGATATGATCATTTTTTCCCAACAACTATCATGAATTTTCAAAGCTTGGCATGTCTTTTCAGACCATCGTGGGGGTTTTTAGGGCTCTTCCAGAGATTTCTGGGTGTTCAGATCATTTGAAGCTATATTTAGAAAGGACCTCTTAAGAGGCTTTTTTTCCTGAAAGTTCTAGAAAGATTGTATGGAACTTTTGTAGCTGATATTTAAAAATTTAAACATTTCAAAAACTCCTTTTAGTAAATTGGGCGATAGAGAGGACCAAAATAACGATAAACAACCATGAATTCTTTCCCCGAGCAAATTTCATACAAATCTAACCATTTTTAAATGGCGTTTGGATTTTTTAAGATTCTCGATGATTACTTTGTTTCCGGAAGGTCACACTTGAATATTTCTGAGAGGATAAGAGAATTTGACATGACACTATGTCTCGACTGAGCTAAATCTACCCTTATTTGCTAGAGAATCTTGAGTGGCCATTTTGGGTGGATTAACGATGTATTGTACCGCACTACCGAAAACATTCATGTTTTCTTTACGTTGGAAATAGACCGATTTTATCGCGAGAGCGCAACAATAACAACCCGCAACCTTAGTCCTTTGTTTTCCCTCGAAAGAAAAATGGGGTAGTTCGACGCTTTTCCCAAGTTAACATTAATAAAGTTGTTGTCGCGCGTGTAATAAAGGCGTAAAAGGCTCCATTAGCGTCTTGTTATCGCAATAAAAGGCGAATTATGGCAACAAATGGTCGCATCTTCAAAAAAACTTTACGAGTGAATAAATTTTCGAACGAGAGAAATCCGCATTCCTAATTTTAACATTTTCGAAAATAATAAAATCGACGAATTAGGGCGATCGTAAAATTTGTTTATTT